GCTTAAAAAATCCTTTGAACCCTCTAGAATTCGATTTTCAATGTTTCTAAACAGACCAACAGGTGGCGCCAGGTGTATTCTGCAATCAACTGCAAATACGCCAGTAGTGCGTAATTTTAAAAATTAGTGAATCGAATAGTTGCGATTATTTAGGTGTTTCCCGCGTAGCTAACGTATCGTCGCAAGTTTCTTTTGTCAAAATGAAGAATTCTATTGACCGAAAGGGTTCACGTAAATTCGTTGGACGACCTTCACGAAAAAGAAAAAGACCGCCGCCGCCGAATCGCCATTCATTCGAGAGTGAAACTGGAGCTACAAGTGCTGCCGCAAAAAAATTAAAAACTGAATCGAAAGAAGTGTCAGTAGATGCTGCCTGCGGATATCGTTTGATTATGTTTTTACCCTTTTTTCAATCGCTGAGTGAAATGATCAAATGCAAAGAATGCAACGGAAAAGTAACTTTTTCTGAATCGAGTATTCGTGGACTTGGATTCAAGTTAGTTATCACGTACGATTCATGTAACCCACGCTACATTCTCTCTTCTCCGCTCATAAAAACAGCATACGAAATCAACAGACGTCTAATTTTTGCAATGAGACTCCTTGGTGTTGGTTACGATGGTTTACGAAAGTTTTGCGATATAATGGACCTCCCGAAAATAGTCCAAAAAAAGGTTTATTATGATATAATGAGTAATATTCATTGTGCGTCAAAAGCCGTTGCCAATTCGTTGTTTTCTGCAGCTGCTGCCAAGGAAAAAATTTTGACGGAATATGTCGAAAATGCTGTCCAACCGACGACGGGATTAACTGTTTCTGGCGACGGAACTTGGCGAAAGCGAGGTTTTTCGTCGTTACAAGGGATAACGACTTTAATCGGACATTATACAGGAAAAGTTATCGATCTCATAGTAAAATGCTCGTACTGTAAACAATGCGAATACTGGAAATCACACGCCGAGGACTTCGATGAATGGATGAAAACACACGGAAACGAGTGCTGTGCGAATCACACTGGCAGCGCCGGGAAAATGGAGGTGGACGCGGCTGTAGAAATGTTCGGAAGATCTGAGAAATTGCACGACGTGAAATATACTTCGTACGTCGGTGACGGCGATTGTAAAACTTTTAAAGGCGTCACAGAATCTATACCTTACGGTGAAGATGTTATTATCACAAAAAAAGAATGCGTTGGCCACGTGCAGAAAAGGATGGGAGCTCGGTTGAGAAACTTGAAAAAAAAATTCAAAGGACTGGGCGGTAAAGGAAAGCTCACAGCAAAACTTGTAGATGAGTTAAGTGTTTATTACGGGTTAGCCACCCGAAGAAATAAAGATTCTGTGCCAAATATGAAGAAGGCTATCTGGGCCACGCTGAAACATAAATCATCAACTGATAAGAACCCACAACACGAGAATTGTCCGCCTGGGAAAGACAGCTGGTGCACCTGGCAACAAGCTAAAGCTGAGGATAAACTGGCAGATTACAAACATAAAACGGCTCTCCTCGACAAAGTGCTGAAGGCCATCACTCCTGTGTATGAAGAACTGAGCAACGAAGATTTATTGGAGCGCTGTGTAGGAGGATACACTCAAAACAATAATGAGAGTCTAAACGCAATGATTTGGTCGTTTGCTCCGAAGCGAACATTCAGCGGCTCCGAAACCGTCGAAATTGCATCATATTTTGCAGCAAGCATTTTCAATGAAGGCTTCCAGAGTATCCTCAACATGATGCAAGTCATGAATATAAGAATTGGGCCAAATGCCGTCGATATGTGCAACATGACGGACAAACAAAGAGTTTCAATTGCAAACACGCGGACGTTCGACGCTTCAAGAGAAAGAAGAATCAAGAAAAGAACAAAAAGATTGGCTGTTGAAGAGGCTTTTCTTGAAGAGGAAGGTCCAATATATGTAGCAGGAATGGCAGAATAAGGGTAAGAAGCTTAAAAAAATTTTTTTCACTGACAAAACTAATGACGAAACTTTAAACACATTTTTCTCGAAACTACGTTTTTTAGAACGGTGTACACGATATCTCGAGTTCTAATTAATGAATCGACTTGAAATTTTAACCACATATTCTCTGAAGTACTGTCACTCGTCTGACGGACGATTTTTTCGATATGTTTTTTTGTTCAATTGTTATAAACAAT